ATTTCCAAATATCAAGAACACGGGGACGTGAGTTAGCAGAGGCGCCCTTTTGAGAGATTCACTAAATACATGGACAAACAGCCATACCAACAGATCTTTGAGAAACTGTTGAGTCACTTGGAGCTGCTGAGTCAGTTTGGAAAAAAAGCGATCAGCCCATTGCTGGCGGAAGACTAAACTATACCATTACACCTGTGCATGCAGAAATATTCCGCTGCATCTAAATTATCATGTTACAACTTGCTCTTACTTCCTGTTCTCATTGATGAGCATAAAGTCAGAACATCACAACATTTTTGCCTAGGACTTGCTCGAAACGAAAACGAAACCTCCTACAGGTAGGCCCTTTAACATGTGGTTCGATCACGGTTTGTCTCGAAAATTGCTGAGGCTTTGAAGTGGACAGATCGCACCTGTTTCTTGATTTTACAGGCTCTTACGAAAGGCGAATCCCATTTCATTCGTCTGTTTATTCTCGGACGCTTGTTTTCTCTCGAGCGATGACTTCGCAGCCAAACCCTACTGGACGTAGCGACTCCCGCGCCCGAATCTTTATGGAGATAGCCACCAACGTTGGAGACGCTGCTCTTAACAGCGACTTGCAGATTTCAAAAGAAAACATCATTAACGTGAAGACTGTTTTTACCGGAACCGTCGAGACTCTATGCCCAAATCGTGAGTGTACTCATCTTGGAACAGGTTTCGTGATCTACAACTGTGAATGTCACGACGCTGATGAGAGGCGCTACATTCCACGCGGATGAACAAAAAACATGCCGGTAGTGGTTATCCTAGCGATCAAATAAGTGAAGCGGAAATTTTCTCGAGAGACGCCTCAGGATTGTGCGAGTGCCCGCTCTGACTTCCGCTGCAACAGATGATTAATACGAACAGTTCTTGGACGAAGCCGTAGCGGCGAGACTGCCGATAGGAAGCCCAACGACGCCTGGTGTTGACTGGAAGAACATGGCGGTAACATTCGAATGGTTCCAGAGCATGACCCGTTTCTCTATTTATGTCGGATGAGAAGCGAAAATAAATGTTCAATGTTCAATACAGTAAAATGTATGTAAATGTATAGTAAATGGATATGCATGGTAAATGTGTTGAAGAGGAAGGAGAACGACCCCCAGGCGAGCATGTTAGGTCGCGAATGACCAAGTATGATGAAGGATCTTATCGCGGGCATGACGTGATACGGTACCTATCGAAAAGCTAAGAGCAAAAGAGTTAGTCATTCCATTGCCTGCGCTGCGCGGAGTACATCGCCTCCCCGCCAAGATAGGAGTCCGGTCTCGGTAACTTCCTATTCCTTCACGCTCAACCTTTTTCGGTTGACTGCTAAGTATAATACTTGGCAGAAACTAATTTGTAGACATTTCTCCTGTGTGGCAACTGTTGTTAATTGTTGTCTTTCTTTGTTGACTGCCAATAAAAG